AGAATATAGTGGATGAGGGAGAACTTCCTAACCCAACTCCATAATCTTCTGTTGCGTCAAACGTGCCACATGTGGACGTACATTGTCGTGGAGAAGAACACCTTTCCGTTTGAAGAGTGAAGGGCGTTTCTGATGAAGGGCTTGATTTAAACGTTCCAGTTGCTTACTATAGATCTCTGCACTGACAGTTCGCTGTGGATTGAGGAGTTCGAAATGAATTACCCCTTTAATGTCTCACCAAATGCAAAGCATCACTTTCTGCGGATGGAGTCCAGGTTTTTGGGTCGGAACTGATTTTTGTCTAGGACTGAACCATTGTTTCTGGCGTTTAATATTCGCATAGAGAATCCATATTTCACCACCGGTGACAATTCTGTCCAAAAATTATTCACGTGCATTACGCGCCAGAAGAGACGAAGCAGCGTTCACACGTTGCAAACAATGATCATCAGAGAGTTTGTGAGGCACCCAAACACCTTCTTTGTGGAGTTTTTCATATTCCTTAGATCTTTACGTATTGTTTCATGAGAGACATACAATTTCAGGACCATTTCACGAGTGTGTTGCCTTGGGTTAGACTCAACAAGCGTCTTCAGAACATCAATATCAATTCCAACATGTTGGCCCCTACCATCATAGTTTTTGAGGCTAAAGTTATCTGAACGAAATTTGCTGAACCATCGTTGACAGTCACGAACGTTCAAAACATTTTCATAAACTTCTTTGTGGCTACGAAGGCGTTGTTCCCTTCTTGTATTTAAACAGCATTACATGTCGGATATTTATGTCGTCGTATGTCATCACTATAAGAGATTAGAGTATACTAAACTTTACACATTATATAGGCTACACTAACGTGACGTTTAGGCAGTTTGTTTAACTATTATACGTGGTGTCCGTCTTTTGTGGGTGGTGGTTAATGAAAGTGTTCCAAAACGCAACATTAATCTATTGACGACATAATACTTTTGTTGCTCTTTTACGGGGTGTGGCCTGTTTATATAGGTAACCTTCCCTCTGACTTGTCCTCCGATTTTAAACTTAAATAATAAAAAACAAACCTCTTTAGTTAAAGGAGCTTCTAAATTAGAAAACAACAAATATTTTTTTCAATTTTGTAGTTTATACATTTAATTCTATACTTTCAGCACATAGCCTCTTAACAACAATATTAGGTTATACTTTTATTGCTAAGCAACATGATATAAAAGCCATTGTTTGAACGCATTGTTATCAAAAC